ATCTGTAATTTTTGGGGGGATTCCTGTGTCAGGAACTTGCATTTTCCTACAGTAGGAGTCCCTAATTTGACGTTTACAAGCGTTTAATCACCTACTCTCTGCTGCTCGGTCCAGGCCGCAGAGCTCAGCTTTCCCGAACACCATGTGTATGGGGAGCAGAGGAGCATGCGCAGTGGAGGCTACAGGATGGGGATGGAGGAGTGTTGGACAATGCTAGGCAATGGACACATGCCGAGAGCGCGCAGGGGTGTCTCCGTGGGACCCTGTAATAAGAAGGAGACACCAGAGATCAGAACTGCGGCAACAGCGCTGAATTTGCGGCTTTATTCTGGCTGCATTAATAATATTTAAATGCAATATTATATTTGCCAGACATTAAAAAAAGTTTGGTAAGAGAAGCCACAGTGTAGCCATAGTGTAGCCATAGTGAGGTGCAATGTGGTTGTACTACGCTGTGCTGGAAAAAAAAAAAGTACTGCATGCAGCACAACTCCCTTGTCTATGCAATGAAAAGGCTGGAAAAGGCTTCCAGAGCATCCCCAACGGATTAAAAACGACAGAAAGAAAAAAAAAAAGACCAGGAAAAGAAAGAACTAAAGAAAGAAAAAAGAAGGAAAGAAAAGAAATATGTTATGTTTGGGGAGAAGGGAGATTACTCCCATCACTGAAATGGATGAAATTATGTACGGAGCCAGTATACATTTTTTCATGCAAGGTCATTTTTTTTTGTCCAGTGTTAGTTTTTATAGCGGTTTAAAGCAGAGCTCCAGGATTATTTTTTCATTAACCCTTGCAGTTGGGCTGGCCTCTACTCATTTGTGTCTAGGTAAAAAAAAAAAAACACCATACAAAAATATACTCACTCAATGCTCCAAGCTGGCTTCTTCATAGAACAGTCCCTGGAATGCCTGTCCCCCTCCTGTGCAGCGGTTTAAGGTCCATTAAATCATCACGTCAATACATTGTGCAAAGACATGTGGTTGCTGAGGAACAGTCCAATGTGCGGAGGAGGAGGGGGCAGGCTGGAGGGAGCGCAGTGACAGCTGGCTGGCTCAGAGCTTTGGGTGAGTATTTCTTGGTTATTTTAGCACCTAGACACAAATGAGCGCTTAACCCTTGTAGTGGGGTAGTAGCTCCACTGCAAGGGTTCATAAAAACAAATCCTTTAAAGTAAATATGCAGCTAAACAAAATGAAAGTGGAATTCCAACTGAAAATCTTCTTTTGGACAGACCACGGTAGGATTACAACTGTTTTCAGGTATTGATGTTGTCTGCATCTCTGTTAGGCCTGATTCACATCTACGCGGTACCGTTTTTGCGCGATAGCACCATGTGGTTATTTGCGTGTTGTGCACATTTTTACATGAATTTGCGCGTTTTCACTGGCTGCTCATAAAACATTGTGGGCAATGGAACAATGCGCGTATAAACGTGCAAAAACTCTCACAAAAATGTGCAACATGCTTCTGCCACATGTTTTTGGGCATTTCCAATGAAGTCCATGGGGCAATAAAGCACTTTTAACTGCCCAAAGAAGCTTATGTACCTTTTTGAGCATTTGGCGTTTTCTGCTCAGGTGTGAATCAGGGCCATTGAAAATCATGGGATTTCTTGTGTTGGGCATGTAAAAGTGCTTTTCGACCTGCTCAAAAACTCCTAGGTGTGAACCAGGCCTTAAGGAAATGTATTATTCTTCCTGGAGAATGTCTTTTCTAAATGCTGCATTTTCTCTTTTTACATCAATAGGCTATGAATATAATCCTAACGGGTCATCTAGTGAAGAATCCTTGGAGCCAGGTTTTCTATACTGCGATATTAACAATGTAGCTTTCTGCTTTAAAGTTAAAGCGACAATAAACTCAGGAGTTAAATCTTAAAGTGACATTAAAGTCAATTTTTCCCCCCTCCCCCCCAATGTTAATGTCAGCACTTACCTTAAATGATGTCTCTTAATGCAAAAAAAACCCGGAGGGTTTAGAAACCCTTTGAAAATGCATTCAAGTACCTTTCAGTATTAACAAAAATGTATCTTATTTGTGTGTCACTCAGTTGGAGATCCTCAAATCATTTCTGAATTGGTGCCAACAATTCCTTCCATCCTACAATCTCATGTTTAGTTTACTAATTTGTAGTCAGATTGTAGTTCATCACAGGACTGAGCTTGGAGCGGTAGCTACATTATAACACACAGTTGGAACAAAAGTAGCCTCCAGAAGGAAGGAAAGTGTCAGAACCAATTCAGAGATGATTTGATGATCTACAACCGAGTGATACACAAATAAGATACATTTTTGTTCAGAGGGTAATTGAATGCATTTTTAAGATTTAACTCCTGAGTTTTGTGTCACTTTAAATATCTACATTTTCCACATATATGTAGAACTTTTTTTTTTGTGTGTGTTTTGTGTGTTTATTATAGATTTATTGGATGGACGATTACTGTATCACATCAGTCTTCAAGGCAAGATTCAAATGAGATTAGATGTC